TGTGGCTTTTGCCACCGCGGCCCCGGAGCAGGTCGCCCTCGCCGCGGACGACGACAATGCGCCTCCCGAGTTCACCAAGATCGTGAAGGACAGCGGGCTGAGCATCGTCACGTGCGCGGAGATCGCGAAGACGATCGGGATGACCAGGGAGAAGTGGCGAGCGGTTCTCGAGAGCGAGCTCAACAGCCTGAAGGACGGCTGTCTTCGCCCCCTCACGGCCTCGGAGGCACACTCTGCAAAGCCTTCCGAGATGCTGCCCACGAGGGTGGTTGCGAGGCAGAAGGCTCCAGACGCCTCTGGCTATCGGCGCTTCAGGGCGCGCGGCTGCGTGTGCGGCAACTTCGAGGCGGTGGGCCCTTCGGAGCAGACCTTCACGCAGAATTTGGACACTGCCAGCCTCCGCATGGCGCTCGCCGTGCGCGCGCACCGTTGTTGGGGCGTGTCGGCCCTCGACGTCTCTACCGCGTTTCTGAACGCGTTCCTCCCTGTGGACAAGAAGCGAGTGGTCATTCGCCCACCGGCCATCTTCGTCAAGTTCGGGCTGGTGCCGGCGGGCGAGCTCTGGGTGGCCGAGAGGGCCATCTACGGCCTGAGGTGCTCGCCGAAGGCTTGGGGCGATCTGCGCGACGCGGAGCTCCGCAAGCTGACGTTCACCGTCGGCGCGCTCCAGTGCCACCTCAAGCAGTCTGCGGTCGATAGCTCGGTCTGGCTCGTCAAGGCTAACGGGGTGGACGACGTCTTGGGCTATGCGCTGAGCTACGTGGACGACTTCTTGTTCATGGGCTCCGAGGACGTGGCGAGGACACTGCAGACCTCCATCGGCGCGCTCTGGACCACGAGTTCCCAGAAGATCATCTCCCCGGACTGTCCGGGAACCACTCGGTACTTGTCCATCGACATCGGCATAGAGCCCTACCGCCTGACGCTGAACCAGCACGAATACGTCAACGACATACTGATGAAGTGGAACATGGCCCATTGCAACGGCTGCCAGTCGATCAACCCCGACGATGAGATCGACCTGCCCGTCCAGCCCGAGGACGACGAGGAGAAGCCTGACCCTGATGATGTGCGCGGCGCGCAACGGACGGCAGGTGGACTCCTGTGGCTTTCGAGCCGCACTCGGCCAGACCTGTCCTACAGCGTCTCGCGGATATCCAGCCATGCGACTCGGAGGCCGCGTACGTCCCTCGTTCTGGGCAAGAAGGTCTCGCGGTACCGGCTACCCGCCAGTTGGCGCTGGTCTACGTGCTGGGCACCCCTCGCGAGCTGCAGGACCTCATCTGCCAATTGGACGTCTTCTCGGATGCCAGCCATGGCGACGCGGGCGCGCAGACACGCGTCGCTTGTTTCATGTATGGGCGCATGCTGGTCGACTGGCGCAGCTTGAGGCAGCAGTTGGTCTGCTTCTCGACGGCCGAGGCGGAGGTGAACGGTCTCGCCCTCAGCTGCCAGGTGCTCTACGGTCTGGAGGCGGTCGCCCACTCCATGGAGCTGCAGACGACCGCAGTCCTCCACGGCGACCACCAAGCGGCGAACCACATCGCCGAGGGTCGCGGCAGTTGGAGGACGAGGAGCCTTATGACTAAGGACAACGCCATCCGGAGCCGAGTTGAGCGCCGCATGCTGGAGCTGATCTACGTGGAGACGGCTCTGATGCGCGCCGACGGGCGCGCCAAGAGCAAGGGGCCCGACCACGCGGCGAAGGTCAGGGCCCACTTCGGCTTGTTGGGCATCTGAGCGCGCGCAGCGCCAGAGCACCTGAGGGCCCCCTACACCCCGATCGAGCTGCGGGGTATGTCCTCCGATGTTGGGTGCGATCGGGATTGTCAGAGGCCCTGTGCACGTCCTACTGCACAGGACTCCGAAGGAGGAGCGTGTGCAGGGGGGCCCTCCAGCCATGTGAATCAGGCAGCGTAGCATCAGCATCAGCAGCATATGGGAGAGCACGCTACGCATGGAATGAATTTGAGTTCCAGCACGCGTAGTTACAAGTTCCCGTGGTGCTGCCCCTATGTCATCACGCGTAGTTACAAGTTCCCGTGGTGCTGCCCCTATGTCCGCACGCGTAGTTACAAGTTCCCGTGGTGCTGCCCCTATGTCAGCACGCGTAGTTACAAGTTCCCGTGGTGCCGCCCCTATGTCAGCACGCGTAGTTACAAGTTCCCGTGGTGCTGCCCCTACGTCTGAACAGTCTCTGGGGGCTTAGCGGCAACGCCGCCTCCAAGGATGGGTTGCAATGCATTTTGCACTCTAGGTCAGCAGCTTCAGGCCGACTTTCGCCGTAACGCTGCAACTTCGGCACAAGATGGACGAGGAGAAAAAAGGGAGTCGTCAAGGCGAGGAGCAAGCCTCAGCGGCAACGCAGGCTTGTGACTCGCCTATCGGTCTCCGCTGAAACTCTCCTCCGTTTCCAATTCGACCTACCCATCTCTCCTGAGCTGTCCCATACTCTACCTTTCCGGCCTACGGAAGCCGTCCGTTTTCTTCGGGAGCTGGCGGCTGGAACGCCGATTGACGAGTTGGCATCAGAAGAGCTATAGACAGAAGGTTAGACGGAACCTCATTACAGACTCTCTGGACCTCATCCCCCTCAATATTGTCATCATGTTCCCACATGGCTTCCATAGTGGTGCTGGTGGTAATGATTATTATGCTGCGTACTCCCTCGTCGGACCTGATGGTAGACTCTTGCCGGAAGGCGTAACTGGCCCTCCCTCCCCCCCCCTCGGTAAGAGGGGGGGGGCGACACAGAGGAACGACTGCCCGCGGCGCGCGCGAGCCCACGCGGGTGCGCTAGAGAGGCACGAGCGCCCCGCATCCCCACCCCCCCCTCCCCCCCTTCCCAGGAGGGTCCCGAGAGGCAGAGAAACACAGTTGTCTCAGAGGAGGAGGATGTAGCCACGCCGCTACCCGTCCCTCGTTTTCCTTTTTTGAGGCCTCCTGGGAGGCCCTCGTCGCCACCGCTGGATTCGCATCGAAATTCAAATCAGAACGCACCCTGGGAGAGGTCCTGGGAGTAGCGGTTTGAGTAGCGGTATCGGTTCGGTACCTTTTTTCTGTCTCCCCATTATCAGGTTGGGGGGATGGGGTTGGGAGAGATGGTCAGATCACCCGTATGATCGCGTATGCCGAGCGTGCTTACTACACAGTCGTGCCCCGTGTCCTCCCAACCCCACCCCCCCAACCCGCTAGTTATCTTCCTGGGGGAGGCAGAAATCAGTAATGTTCCTTGGACTGTTTTGTTGCCGATTTGGAAGATTTCTCGCCTTTGGCCTTTTCCCGACGTTTCCCCAGACAACCCAAGAGGCACCCAAGAGGGCCCAAAAACGCCCCCCCCCCTCCCCCGTCCTGGATCCCCCCCCGCATTCTGAGGCGCCTTGTCAGAAGCCAATACAATCCGAGCCCCCTCCCTCCCCTCCCCCCCTTCCCCCCCCCCCCCCCCCCCCTACCCCCTTCCTGGACCCTCCCCCTTCCCCCTCCCCTCCCCCCCCCCCTCGACCCAAAAACTCCCTCCCCCCTCGCCCCCCCCCCCTCCCCTCCCCCCCCTCCCCCCCCTTGGCACAAACGCCCTTCGTTCCTTGTTCGATGTTCCTTGTTTGCAGCACGATGGCTGTAAGCGTGGGTGGGAGGCCCTGGCCTTTCGCGTTGTCCGCTCCTCTCAGGGCGCTTCAAACTTGAACTGTGCTCGAGCGCCGCCCGGCGCGGCAGACGTTCGGCAGACCTCTCTTGTGAGACTTCCCAGCTTGACGATGGGAGTCCTGGCGCTGTGCGTGGGGTTGAGAGGCCGAATGGCCAGCCCCACCTGGCAGGGCTGACGCAGAAGAGGCGAGAGGCTCGCGTCGCCTCGTTGGTGGATATCCGCGATGCGGCGCGATCTGGGGCCCTGTGCCGATGTTCTCAATCCCGACGTCGCCAGTGCACTATAGAGGTGCGGCGCGATCCTCCGACCCCGTGCGCTGCGGCCCTTTTTGACGTCCAGAACCGCACACCCCTGCCGACCTCCTCGGAGCTTCGACCCCCGAAGCTCCAAGGTTGCCGGCGTGCGACCGCCTCCCTGCTGCGGCAGCGGCGGATGCAGCAAGACAGCCATGCAGACAAAGTTGGGTAAATTATGTTCCGGCCTGTGCCTGAGGCTTGGCATCGCTCGGACGTGTGCATTTTTTCTCGGCGATAAACATCGAGCACCATCCTGGATCATCGAGCAACCAAAAACACGCACGAAAACGAAACATGCACGGGAAATGGACGTCCGAGCGACGGCGGGGAGGGGAGAAGAGAAAAAACAAAACCACACCTCGGAGTTTCGAGGGATCGGCCCTTCGCACTGACACACAGGCCTGACGGCCAGCGCTTCCAAGCTCAGGCCACGGGAATCTGTGATCGTATTCTGATTCATTGTTTTGCCGATGGCGCGGGCCCTCGCACCCCTCCCCCCCCCCCCCCATATGGAGTAGATTTTGGCTGTGTTTGGCGCCTGTTTCGAGCAGGTGGAGTCTCCCCCATGAAGGATGCCCTGCTGCAAACAGTTGCATTAAGCAGAGGTCCAGAGCCAGACCCCCCACAGCCGCCCAATCTCGAAATGCCGAACAAGAAAACGCCCACAATGGGGTGCAGAGCTCGTCGGGCCCATGTCGCGGAGTGCTAGCAGCGTCCCGGTTATGGGGATGCACGTCCCTGACTGCCTCAGAGCTTGTCATACCAGGTAGTTCCGTGGGTCGTGATTCCGTTCGCTTGTGAATGTGATGTGTGCGATTCATGTTTGTGCGCCCCGTGCATGCCAACAGCGGACCATGACCGACAGATCGGAGTACAGCGATTCATCCGCATGCAGGTTCTCATTTTGTTGGATCCAGTGACTTGTCTTCTCGCGGCCGTCGGTCATGTTGGGTCGGATCTGACACCGCGTGCGAGATCAGGGTCAGTGTCACAGGATGGCTTCAGCCCTGGATTGGACGCTCCACGTATTTGTTCCATTGTGAATTGGTCGGTTTTCGGAGGCGCTCTTGCCATGGGTCAAAGTCGTGCCTTACTACGGGACCATATTGTACTTGATTGGACTTATTTCCTTGCGAGTGGCTTATGAGTATTACAACTACGTGTACATCGTCAGGCAGGGACAGGGTCTTGATGCAAGCTCGATTATCCATTGGTCTTTTTTGTTATGAGAACATGGGTTGGCACAGATTTCGCAATTGCCATCTCCAACATCGAGATGGCCATGCCGTCGTAGATTAAATATTTGTCTGCCCCTCTCGAGATCTCTTCTCATTCGAACAATGTGCGTTCTTCTCTATTTGCAGAATCGTTCTGACGCCAGGGAGGATGAAGTGAAGCTGGGGAGTGGGGCTAGAGACGCGCGTGCTCAGGTCGGGGAAGCAGCGGTGATATGTTCGACTGCTCTCTCGAAGAAGGCAAGCCGAAGTTTTTGATAGCAGTTGCTCCGTCGGACCGAGGGAAAAACTACGACGGGATCAAGCAGGCCGCCCAAGATTGGTTGGCCACCAGAACAGAGTGAGGTCCCCGCGTATCCAAGCACTTAAACTCCACGTGCAGCCTTGCCCTGGGATCGTCCAGCCCCGCACGCGCGCCCGTGCCAGCGCCATCTTGCTCCTGGGCCCGCCAGTCATCATCAACTTCTCGTACAAGTGGGGCCTCTTCGGTTTTTAGGCGGCTGGCGACGTACGGAGCGACGCGACGGAAGGATAGCAATAGAGGTTGGCAGCACAGCGAGAGCCACGTTGCCAAGGGATGCGTCGAGCAAGCGATGCTGGGAGAAGAGCATCATTCGAGGGAAGGTAACCCAAACACCGCCAGAACCAGCAGTGGCGGCGACGGCCTCGCTCTCGCCTCGGCCCGGGTAATTATCCCGTGCGCTTTCGCATCGGCTCGTGGCCAGCTGTAGAGCGAGGCGTGAGGATCTCTTGGGCACAACCTAAGCTTTGGCACCTCAAACGGACACGCGAGACGGCATCGACGAATCGAGCACACGCTGCTCGATATTCGAAACGGCAGCGATGTCTCAGCATGTTTGGCCAGTTTGAGCGACACGGCCTTTGTCGAATACACGTGGAATGCACGCCGGACGAGGATCCGACGAACACTGAGGACCTTTGTCAAGTCCCCGCCCTGATGTCTCTCTCCCTTCTCATCTCTCTTTGGCGCGTTCCCGCACGTTGCTCTGGTCTTTCCTGCCTCCTCCCGTTCTCCGTTGCTCCTCCCATTCGGTGTTATTTCCCATATGCTAAGTGAGGGTTTCTTGATGTTCGTGCGATGCCTCTGCCCCTTCCTCTGCCGACCTGCCTGTCCTCCGGCCATGCATGTTCAGACTTGGTGACACTCAGACGCGCTCGCACCCAGATGCTCTCACACCCAGATTCGCTGATATCAAGATACACCTATACCCAGTTTCACTCAGACTCGAATTCATTGGCATTCAGACCCCCTCCCACGCAGACCCGCTCATATTCAGACACGCACATACTCATACTCACTCATGCACTCATACACACACCGCTTTCATCCAGATTCACTCATACTCAGCCAGGCCTTACTCATACTCGCACATGCGTCCTTCCTACAGTCAGAGCCCCGTGATCATCGCGATGTTGCAGACGTGGCACTTGGGCACCCCAGTGAGGAGCCGCTAGGGGATGAGACATTTGCCCAGTCGCGCCCAGATTCTGCGGGGGTCTCAGGCGTTTACCTGTTCAGTCGTCTTCTCTCGTTTCCAAGCCGCATTCTGATCGCGACGTTGCAGGCGCTGCGCCCAAAGACCCCAAGAAGGAGCTGCCACGGGGTGCGATTTTTGTCCGTGCGCGCCCCAGTTTGTGGGGACCTCTCAGGCGGTTCGCTTGTCCGGTTGACCAGACCTCTCTTCCGAGCCCCAATGGAAAGCCCGGTGTAGCAAGCGTGTCACGTGAAGACACCAAGGGGGAGCCAGCAGGGGGTAAGACATTCGTCAGGAGGGGAAAAATCACATAGACACAATGAATCGTCGATCCCCCCGGAAATATGGGATGATGTGGGAAGTGGGGGAGGGGAAGACGAAAACCCAGAAAATATTGCAAAATAGGAAAAGTGGGGGGGAAGACGAAAACCCACAAAACATTAGAACATCTGGGGGATCCTGGGATTTGTGTGTATTTGTCTGTGTGTACCTGGGCCCCTTCGATGTGCCCTTGTCGCGCTCCGCGTGTGGTGGTGTCCCAGGCGGTTCGCCTAGTATGTTGACTGAGCTTCTCTCTTTCCAGGGCCCCGTGCTCATCGCGAAGATATCCAGAAGCTTTTATTGCCAAAAGTCCACGAATCATGGTACAATTTTGCAAGAGATTTGGGAGCAGTTGGATCTGATCTCGCACAGAAGAAGGGTGACATGTGAGGGCTGCGGCCCACGCGCCTTGCCCCTTGCGGGTCGGCCGTCTTGGCCGGACACGGCCTCGCCTCGCCTCGCCTCGTGCTTATCGCGAGGTAGCAGGCGCGGCATCTGAACACCTTCACGGGGAGACGCCCAGGGTTATGACATGTGCCCTTCCGCTCCCAGGTTGTGGGAATGTGTCAGGCGGTTCGCCTATGATGTTGACCAGGCCTCTCTCTTTCCAGGGCCCCGTGCGCTTCGCGAGGTAGCGGGCGTGGCATTTGAACACCTTCACGGGGAGACGCCAAGGGTTATGACATGTGTTAAGTCGGGCCTGTCCCTCTACAGGAGGAATGTTCAAAAATAGTCAAAAAGTCGTATGGGGACCATGTTTTTAGGTATGTTTTCATTTCGTTTCGAATATTTGTGGGCTAATATTAATTTTTCTTCGAAAATCGTCCTGTACAGGGGACATGCCCGACCTACGACATATGCCCGTCCGTTCCCAGGTTGTGGGGATGTGTCTGGCGGGTTGCCTGGTTGGTTGGTCAGACTTCTCTTCAAATCCCCATGATCATCGCGATGCAGCAGGCGTGTACGTCCTGCTGGAAGGGGCGCGGAAGCATGGGCGGAAGGTTGGCGGAATCCAGCATGTTAGGTTCCATGGGGTGGACGTGTTGGTTAATTGGTTGGTTGAGTATCTTTAACTACCACTATTGTCATTATTGTTTGGTTGTTATATAAAAATATAAACAAACAACATTACTCGTATTGCTGCTACAACTCTCACAGTCGTTATTACTGGCAGTGGTACTGTTACTGCTATTCGTACTACTACCACTACTATTACTACGATTGGTAGTAGTAGTACTAGTAGTAGTACTACTATTACTACCACCACTACTACTACTACTACTACTACTACTACTACTACTACTACTACTACTACTACTACTACTAATAATACTACTACTACTACTACTACTACTACTACTACTACTACTACGACTACGACTACTACTACTACTACTACTACTACTACTACTACTACTACTACTACTACTACTACTACTACTACTACTACTACTACTACTACTACTACTACTACTACTACTACTACTACTAGTACTAGTTGTACTACTACTAGTACTACTACTATTACTACTACTACTGCTGCCACTACTACTATTGCTACTACTACTACTACTACTACTGCTACTACTACTGCTACTACTACTACTACTGCTACTACTACTACTACTACTACTACTACTACTACTACTACTACTATTGCAATTACGATTGCCATTACTATTACTACCGCGACGACGACGACCACTCTATTATTATGTCTGTAAGCATTACTACTATTCGTATTGCTACGTTTAGTAGTAGTAGTAGTAGTAGTAGTAGTAATCGTAGTAGTAGTAGTAGTAGTAGTAGTAGTAGTAGTAGTAGTAGTAGTAATCGTAGAAGGAGTCGTAGTAGGAGCCGTTAACTATTCGACTACACAGGCTACTACTACGGCCATTTCAGCCTGTAGTATTTCTACGGCTGCCAGTATTGCCATTATACGACTAGTATTATTACCAGTACCAGCACTACGACGATTACCACTACGACCAGTACGAGTACTAGTACTAGAACTAGTTCTATTATTAGTGTTACTACTACTACTACTACTACTACTACTACTACTACTACGATTAATATTACGACTACTACTACTACTACTACTACTACTTCTATCACTATTACTACTACTACTACTACTGCTACTACTACTATTATTACTACTACTACTACGACTACTATTACTACTACTTGTAATCGTATTAATACTTCTACGACTATCACTACTACTACGACTACTACTACTACTACTACTACGACTACTACTACGACTACTACTACTACTACTACTACTACTACTACTACTACTACTACGACTACTACTACGACTGATACTACTACGGATACGTATATTACCACGATCCGCAGTAGTACTATGAGTCGTACTACTACATATACTACTACGACGTGTACTACTACTTGTACTACTACTACGAATACTACTACTACTACTACTACTACTACTACTACTACTACGACTACTACTACTACTACTAATATTACTCCTACTACTACTACTACTACTACTACTACTACTACTACTACGACTACTACGACTACTATTACAACTACGACTACTACTCCTACTACTACTAATACTACTGCTACTACTACTACTAATACTACTTCTACTACTACTACTACTAAGACTATTACTACTACTATTACTACTACTACCACTACTACTACTTCTTCTACTTCTACTGCAACTACAACTACTACTCCGACCAGCACTACTACTACTCCTACTACGACTACGACTACTACTACTTCTATTCGTATGTGTATCAGAATGATGACTCATACTGATGATTTCATATTACAACTACCTCCTGTCGGAAAGGGGCGCGGAAGCATTGGCGGAAGGTTAGCGGAAGCGAGCATGCTAGGTGAGAAAGAGGGTTTGTTGGTTGGTTGGGTGGTAGTTCCCGCCATAGTTCTATTGTTGTTGTTTTTTCAGTGTGAATGCATTTGATGTGTTCCGATGTGTGCACCGCAGAGAAAGTTACGCATGATGCCGTGATGGTGCATGCAAAGGCATACGTGTGGGCGCATGTACAGGGTGGCGGAAGGTTTGCGGAAGGTTTCCCGAAGGAATGCGGAAGCCAACCGTCAACGTCAGCGCGGGGTGGCGAAAGGTTGGCGGAAGGTTTCCGAAAGGATCGCGGAAGCCAACCGTCAACATCAATTATGTTGGCGGAAGTTCGCGGAAGGTCGGCGGAAAGATGCGGGAGTAAAACGAGAGATGAAAAGAAACATTTGTCTTATAACTTCCGAAATCGGTCAAATGTATATATATATTTATATATATCATGCGCCAGGCGCGATCCACTTGGCCACCGATGATCATGCGGCACCCTCGGTTCACGCACTTTTTGAGGCCCACGCGGGACAAGGAGCTCCAGCGGCCCGAGCATATCGAAGTCTGGGAGTTTGCAACAGGTGCAGCTACACGGGCGACACCTGCACGCGGGCTGCGACCCGTTTGTTTTTACATCACAATTGTCTTGGTTTCTGGCCAGACGGCAGCACGCGATACATTGTGCCAACGTCATGCATTTTGCAGGGGGTCCGGCAATTGTCTTGCTTTCCCGTTTCGTTTGTAGGTCACCCGCTTGCGCGCGAAGGCAACCGCGCACGGAGAATCGTTTTCTTTTCCCAGGGACGGCACGAGGGCGTGTGGATTCCCGCACAGCGCGCTTCGCGCGACGCGAAGCACGGAGTTTGGTGGCTTCGTGTACGAGCAACCCACGGCAGCCCTGCGGCAGCCTTGTAGGGGTCACGCGGCCGGAGGCACGCGGAGGCCTCGCTGCGGGCGTGCCCACGGGATCTCCACGGGCCTCAACGGCGACGGCTTTTTGGATTGTGGGGCCTCGGAGCGGGGAGGTGGGAGGGAGCCCTGCCCCGAGCAGGGCAGGGGCCGGCCACAGGAGGCCTCCGGGCAGGGCAGCGGGAGGGCCCCGCCTCGTGAGGGGCCGCGGGTCCTCGCGGCCGAGGGCGCACGGGGGCTCACGCTGCTGGAAAGGCCAGCAGCCCCGCGAAGAGTTCCAGAAGAGTACGCGTGCAGCTGGTAGCTGCTGGCCGCCAGTGTTCGGCGAGCTGAATCAGAAGAGCAGGAGCGAATGCCTGGCAGCATCGGGCGCGGCTCGAGGAAAAGGGACCATGCACGAAAGCATCAGCAATGAGGATTAGCAGGGCACTCTCCCCAGCAGCGGTTCGAGCACTACAGAGTATAATCGATACACTGGGCACACCCACCAGGAAGCCGCTCACATCTTGTCAGGGTGCATCGGCCTCCTCGGGCCCGAGGAGGATCGCAATGAGAAGCCAAGGCTTCCCAGACCCTCAGTCCATCGACATCTCCTAGAGCGTTCCAAGAAGGGCCTTGCATTCGAGGATCGAAGGCGCTGCCATCTCATCATCGGCGGAAGCCATGGAGCTGCGGGGCGCCATGGGCAGGCTACGGGGTTCCGCTCTGGGAGCTGACGGTTGGCACGGAGATGAGCTCGCTTCGCTCTACTGCCCTGCTGTGGTCCACCACCTTGCTGACGTCTTCAATTTTATGCTGGACCAGGGCTGCGTGCCCACAGAGTGGCGCAAGGCACGGCAAGTAATGCTCCCGAAGGAGGGCAAAGGAAGGAGAAAGAAGGATGGGAGCATAGCGGTGCAGGCGCTGCGACCCATCACCATTTTGAGCTGCTGGTGGCGCCTGCTCGGCAGCGTGCTGCTGAGGTCCCCCGACGCCCAAGCGTGGCAGAAAAAATGGTGGAGGGAGGAGGCAGTTGGAGGACGCAAGGCCGGAGAGGTGTACATGCCGCTCATGCGCCTCATCGACGCGTACCACCAGGGTGATTTCATCGCGTCCTACGACTACACGTTGGCTTTCGACCAGACCGACCCCAAGCTGGAAGTCGCGGTGTTGAGGAAGCTCGGGTGCCCGCGCGCGGTCGCCGCTATCCTGGAACAGGTGTGGACCGGACAGCTCCGGTACTTGCAATACCAAGGAGTCACACTCAGGCGGCCGGAGGAGGTGGGCACCTCGCTGCCCCAGGGCGACCCGTGGTCCATGATAGCTATGGTGGCGATCCTACACCTGCCGATCACCGCCATCGTGGCGCGCTTCCCTGGGACGGAGCTCTCCTGCTTCGTGGACGACAGGTCGTGGAAATCCAGCACTGCGCAGGAACTGCTGGCAGTTGGTGAGGAGTGGAGGAAGTGGTCGCTCGTACTGGGCCTCAAGGAGAACGAGGCGAAGTCCCAGCACGCCCACCGGACGGCCGCGGGCAGGAAGCAGCTGCTCAGAGCAGGCGCGCCGGACACCACGGTGACGGACGCTCCAGAGATCCTCGGGGCGGGCTTCTGCAAGGGGACCGGCCGCCAAGGAGGAAGAGGAAGGAAGTATACCAGGAAGGAGAAGACGAGGTTGAAGAGGGCCAAGGTGATGCTCGAAAAGAGTGCGAGCCTGCCAGTCTGCAGAAGGATGAAGGAGGCGACAATGGCGAGCAAGGCGCTGGCAGTCGCCGAGTACGGCTGGATCGACAGGCAGATGAACAAGAGGGACGAGACGAAGCTACAGGCGGCGATCGTGAGGGCGAGGCAGGAGCCCAAAGCAGGGAGCCCCCACCTCCGGGCCATCTTCCGTGGCCACCGGCTCAGTGTCAGGTGCCGCCTGCTGACGACTGCCTTCATGGCAGCGTGGCGCACCCTCCGCAAGGACCAGCGGCGGGCCACGCTGGGAACCTGGAGGAGGCAGGAGGGATGCTCTGGCCGGATCCACGCTCTCCTGCAGGGCTGCGGCTGGCAGGAACGCGCCGAGTGGGAATGGAGGCGCCCAGTCACGGGCGTCATTCTCAGCCTGCGCAAGGGCAGCGAGCATTGGTCTGAGTGCAAAGGACGCCTCGAGCGCGTGCTCCGGGAAGGCTGGCGCGCGAACCTCTTCGGGAGGTGGCGGGGGCAGAGCCGCATCGACTCGTCTCTGTGCCGATTCGAGCAGTACGACGAGCGGCGCTGCAAGGCCACGAGGCTTCTGGCAGAGGGCAGCACGCACGCGGCCAACGTGATGTCCGGAGCTTCCGTCTCGCCGGCGCACCTGCAGGCGGCGAAGGGCAGAGAGGAGAGAGGAGGAGGAGGAGGAGGAGGAGGAGGAGGAGGACGAGGACAACGACGAGAAGGGCGAGCGGCAGTGCAAGAGCATTGCCCCCGCTGTGGGAGGAGCGAGGCGCCGGACTTCGAGCACGTGGTCTGGCGCTGCGAGGCGGAGATCAGGCCCGTAGGCCGGCCACAGGATGCGCTGCAGCGGCGCCTCCTCTGGCCGACCAGCCTGAAACGCAGGAAGGAGGTGGACGCCGGCCTGCTGTGGCGGGCCGTCGCCATACGCAAGGCGATCCTGGAGGAACACCGCGGAAGGAGGCCAGCCGAAAGCGCCGGCAGCGCGACCCTGGGGAGCTGAGGGCAGGACGAGGAGGTAGAGGAGGTGAGGGGCCAGAGGGAGAGGTTGAGGGAGGGCGAAGGTATAGTAGGAAGAGGAGGTAGAGGCAGAGGAGAGAAGACTTGCAGGGAGGAGAGTGGGAGAGGAGGAAGACGGGAAGCATTTTCACATATGTGCACTGTTATGAAGTTGCAGCGTACATCATTCAAGCTTCTGCATCATCGGCGGAAGGGCGGCGGAAGGTCGGCGGAAGTAAAACGAGGCCGCCGCCGCCGGCAGAAGCCGGCGGAAGGCTGGCGGAAGGCGGCGGAAGGAAAGGATGCACCTCCAAGAGATGGGAACGTTTTCGGGATCAGGGTTTCCAGGGCCCGCCTCCTGGATCCGGGGCCTGGGCTGCTCGTGGAGGCGCTCTGCCGCCGAAGGCCCATGGTATTCCAGGCCACCTGCAGCGGCGCGAGCACAGGCGTGCTTCGCCCTTCTCGGCCTGGGCTGGTCTCTGGAAGGGCGGCGCGAGGGCGCGAAGGTGCCCAGCTCTGCGGCCGTGGCTGACGTCCTGCTGCACTCTCCTGCTGCGTGGCCAACGTTTGCAGCCTCCCTGCGCCTCGCTGCACTCCGTCCGCTCGCGCGCGACGGCGACCCGCAGCGAGGTGCCCGGGTGAGCAGCCGCCTCCGCGGAGGCCGTGGGCGGGGCGCGATGAGTGCAGTGAACGCCACGTCGTCGGGTCGGCCAGCGGCTTGGCAACGCTCGGACGTGGGCACGTTTCTCGGCAGGGGCCACCAAAGAGCATCTTCGGTTTATGGCCATGGTGTTCCAACCTATTTCAGGCTGGATCGCCAGCAAAGATTTCGAGCGCCAAAACAATACCGAAAATTGATCGTTTTCGCGTGTCGGTCCCTGGGAGGCGATACTCGTTCAACATTGTTTCGATACTGTTCTGGGTGTTCGAGACTATTTCTTGGATCTGGCCTTTAAGTACGATGGGAGCAACATCATCTCAGGTCGTCGTGCGGCAAAATGCACGCACGAAGCCGAAGACTGCACGGGGAATGGACGTCCGAGCGATGGCGAGACGGCCCACGGCGGGCAGCGAACGAGAGTTCGGTGCTCAGACGCTCTGGCATTCCACGGCCTGGGGAACTGGCGTCCGTCCATGGGGAACTGGCGTCCGTCCGTGCGCCGGGGTCCCCCACACGGTGTGGTGACCACACCGCGTGGTTCCCCGATCAGCGCTTGCACTGGAGGGGTCCTAGCGGATATTGACAGATTCGGCGAAAGTTTCCCGCCGATTTTGGTAGCCAGCTGGGTTCCCGGGTGCCCGGTTCCGGGTTCCCGAGTTCTTGGCTATTGGTTCCGGGCCGATTTTGGTGGGTTCCAGGTTCCTTGGTTCCCGGCCGATCGTTTTATGGATTTGCTTTTGATCCCACGATTCATGATCGATCTAAGTACTCATCTCATTCAATCGATCTCACCATCGATCTCATCAAATCATCCACTGATTGGGGAGTTTCTCTGGTGTAATGAGTCAGTGTGGGTTCGGGGTCACTCTACGGTTTTAGGATCCGTGTCGTTCTCCGAGGACGTCTCGGGCGACTGGGGCCTCCAGGGTCCCGAAACCATGCGGCGACGGACTGCGCGGTGAGGTGGTTGGGGATTCCGGAGGAGAAGGAGGAGGAGGCGGAGGAGGAGGGGGAGGAGAGGGGAGAAGGGGGAGGAGGGGGAGGAGGGGGGGAGAAGGGGAAGAGGAGGGGAGGGAGGGGAGGAGGAGGAGGAGGGAGGGGAGGAGAGAGGAGGAGGAGGAGGAGGGAGGAAGGAGGAGGAGGAGGAGGAGGAGAGGAAGAGGAGGAGGAGGAGGCGAGAGGAGGAGGAGGATGAGGAGGAGGATGAGGAGGAAGGGGAGGGAGGAGGATGAGGAGGAGGAGGAGGAGGAGGAGGAGGGAGGAGGAGGAGGAGGAGGAGGAGGGAGGAGGAGGAGGAGGAGGAGGGGGAGGTCACCGCGCGGTCCGTCACCACACGGCCTTGGGGCCCCGAACGTGCGCCGGCGTTCTTGGCCGACTGGGCGACCAGGTGTGAACTTCGAGCCCCTCCCAGGCCCGAGGCGCCGCGCGGGCCCGTCGGCCGAGGGCTTCTGCCGAAGCATCGCAGCGCGGAGTCCAGAACGCAGCGGGAAGAAAAGGAGCCCCGACGAAGAGGAGTCCCGAGGTTTTGCCCCGTTTCCAGCTTCTCCGGGCGAGCACTCGGCTCGGGGGCAGGCCCGTTTCCTCAAGAGCCCTTTTTTCACGAGTAGCAAGCCGAGGGCCCGCGGAGAAGCGAGGCCGCGCGGAGTCCGAAACGGTTGTTTGCCCCGCCCCGCCCATGCCTTCGTCGAGAACCCTCGACGAGAGACACCGCCGCGCGGAGTCCGAGACGAGTGCCCGCACCCCGAGGCGCCACCGTGGCGAGGGGCAGCCGCGGGAGCGCGACCCTCGCACCGGTCAAGGGCCAGGTAGTCCGCCTCCGCCGCCTCCTCCTCCTCCTCCTCCTCCTCCTCGTCCTTCTCCTCCCCCTCCTCCTCCTCCTCCTCCTCTCCTCCTCCTCCTCCTCCTCCTCCCCTCCTCCTCCTCCTCCTCCTCCTCCTCTCCTCTCCCCTCCTTCTCCTTCTCCTCCTCCTCCTCCTCCCCCCTTCTCCTTCTCCCCCCCTCCCTCCTCCTCTTCCTCCTCCCCTCCTCCTCCTCATCATCATCATCATCCTCCTCCCCCGTCTCCTTCTCCTCCCCTCTTCCTTCCTCTCCTCCTCCTCCTCCTCCTTCCTCCTCCTCCTCCTCCTCCTCCTCCTCCTCCTCCCCCTCCTCCTCCTCCTCCTCCTCCTCCTCCTCCTCCACCCAGGTGCCCCCCCCGTGCTTCTCTCCTCGTGCCCGCCCCGCTTGCTCCAACGCGATCGGCTGTCTCGAGGGGGCTGCCGTGCGAGCCCCTGGGCTGCGTGCCCCGCGCTCGCGGGGGGGGGGGCGCCCGCCGCCCCCCCCGGCGCGGCTCGAGTCGTGAGGGTCGCAGGTCGGCCACCAAGGGGGCCGGTTGGACCCCCCTGGAGCGCAGGAAGCTGGAAGGAGCCAGAGGACCCGAACACGTATGGAAAACCGACAGGGAGCCTATGCGTTTGACCTCTTGGGTCTCTCTGTGGGGGTGCTTTGGGGCTGCTTTGCGGCTGCTTTGCGGCTGCCTTGTGGCGAGATGGTGGGGGAGGTGGCGTCGCCCGCCCGTCCTCTCGCTCCTCAACCCAGGCGATCGCGAGCATGGATCGAGGGGACGTGGATTAGCGACGGGTCCCGTTGCCGAGGGAAAGCGCGGATGTTCCGCCGCCGAGCGCGGCACCAGCCGCATTTTGGGGGAGGGCGCCTCCCCCGGTCCATGGCTCTGGCGACCGCTCGCCAAATCCGTGGATCGCTGGTCCATGCTGGCGCGCCCCCGATCAACGCCCGCTGTTTCCCGTTATTTGACGCGCCATGAGGGTCTGTGCCCTGAAGCGCAGCGCGGCGGCCGTCGGCCGCCGACGGAGAAGGGGAGAGGGAGGCCCGTCTCGTCGCCCTGGAGCATTTTCGGTCGCGAGGAAAGGGAACCAACGCCCGCCTCCTCTCCCCCCCCCCTGCTCAGCAAGCGGCCTTCCCCTCTGCGCCGCGGGTCGGCCGCGCCCTGCGGGCGCCATGCCGCCGCCCGACCCGCCGCGTGCCTCCACCGAGGCGGCGGCCCGCGAGGAGGTCCTGGCGCGTGCCCGGCGCGCGGTGGTGCTCGCTTCTGCTCGGGCGGTGCCAGAGGCGTCCCGGGCCCAGGGTTAAGTCGGGCCTGTCTCTCCACAGGGGGAATATTCAAAGATAGTCAAAAAATACTCTGGCGACTATTTTTCTACCATCTTTTGGGATATTTTTGAGCATGTTGGAGGTATTTTTTATTTTTCGTCCAAAAACCGCCTGTAGGGGGACACGCCCGACCTAAGCCCAAAGGTGTCCCCAGGACTTCTGGGGAGGCCCAGGAGGCTTCCAGTTGCAGCTGGCGCTGCCCCATTCGTTGTCGCGCTACCTTTCTGCTGGTGCTCGTGCGCGTCGTCGATGTGCTCGTCACCCCCGTCCCGTGGTGTCAGCGGTAGCTGCAGGATTCTTCGGAGGTCCCCCTTCCAGAGCCCCCCATAACCCAAGAGAGAGAAAACCAACCCGACCCCGCATAGTTGGCGTTTGCTCCTCGGCCCCCGGAGTTTCCTGAACAGCCTTGCCCTTGTCGATGTCATCGTGGGGTGCGTTTGCTGAACGGCTTCGCTCGGCGGGATGCTCATTACGAGGGTGGTTGTTCTGCCCTCTACTCGCGAGGCCCAGACGGCCCCAAGGACCCCAATATGGCGCGAGAAGCTAGGGGCACCATGGGCTAGGACTACTAGCGCTAGTCATGGATAAGCCAGCCTTGTGTGCGCCATGTTTGCATGCATTGGCACACGTGCGTCCGGCGCCAGGTGCAACAACGACAACAATGGGATGCCGGGCAGGGCGGGGCGGGCAGTGGGCCAGGACCCCAGACATGCGACGTCCTGATTTTTTCAGGACGGCACCCCTGGAAGTCCCGACCCTTTCCCGGGACCGGTTTTTCGTCCTGAGCCGTTTTTTGACGGCCCCGAGGCCCAGCGAGGGCCCCCCGAGGCCGAAAATAGCCAAACACCTCCCGCCCTGATTGTTCCCCACATCCTAAGATGGGGTTCTTGCTATTATTTGGACGCCTCCTCTTCCCCCTCCTCCTCCTCATCCTCCTCATACCTAGACTTACTCATACACAGACTTTTTCATACACAGACTCACTCATACCCAGACCTGATCATACTAATTTATTCATACTCAGACCTATTCATATTCAGACCTACTCACACTCAGACTTGCTCATGCTGAGACTCACTCATACCCAGACTTACGCATACCCAGACCTTCTCATTGTCTGACTTACTCAACACACAGCAGATTGTGAGGATGTCTCAGGCGGGGCGCTCGTTTCAGCACCCCTAAGGGGATCCGCCGAGGGGTATGACACAGTCCCGTTCGCGGCCGTTTTGTGGGGATGTCTCAAGCGGTTTGCCTGTTTTCTGCCTCAACATCCTTCGTTTGGAGAGCAGATTGTGAGGATGTCTCAGGCGGGGCGCTGGTTTCAGCTACCTAAGGGGAGCCGCCAAGGGTGCTTTCACGGCTCCGTTAGTCGCCGTTTTGTGGGGATGTCTCTAGCGGTTTGCCTGTTTTCTGCTTGTGCGTTGTGTCCCGAGTAGCTCTCCCCGTTGCGTACGGCGGTCAAGGAGGAGTGACCAGGTGTTGCTGGCGCAGAGCTTGTGTCACCGTGGGATGTTGTTTTACCTCTCCGTGGTGCTTTCCAACCTTGTCGTCGTCAGCGGGAGAGGGAACTTGAGAAGGTTCATTCTCCCGCGTGCGTTTTGGGCTGAGGAGGGAACTTGAAAAGGTTCACTCTC